ATATTATATTATATTATATTATATTATATTATATTATTTATTATATTCCATTTGAGCCTTCTTAGTGACTGGTTGCTCAGCCTGTCCTGCAGATGTTGCTGTAAATGAAGCTTGGGCTTATGTAAAGCAATCAGGTGCTGAATGCTATGCTGCCCTTTTCCACTAGTTTCTCTTTTCTTTTAGGATGTTTTTCTCTCTGTTTCTTTCTCCTACTTCCCCTCCCTGCAGGCTCCACTTCCACCTCCCAGGTATTTACCTGGAAGGCCCACTCTTCCCTCAGGGCACAGCACAAAGCCAGAAAGACTTAAGGTGCTCCAGCATGTGCAACTGCCCCGGGACACTGTCATCTAGCACTTGGGTCTTTTTCCCAAACTTAAAACCTTGTAGCCTATCCAAATGAAATAGAGTCATCACTTGGTATAGCCAGGGGATGGGTTTCAGAAACCCCACATACCAAATTCCGTGGATGATCAAATCGCTTCCAGAAAAAAGGTCTAGTATGTCCCTATAACCCATGAAGAACCCCACATACTTTCAATACTCATTACATCACTTACAATACGGAGGCAGATTGTGGTATTTTTTGTTTAGGGAATAATGACAAGAAAATCTACATATTCAGTACAGATACATTTTTCCCCCAGTATTTGCTTAAGTTTGCAGATGTGTCATGTGTGGACACAAAAAGCTCTTCTGTGTGTGAAATTGCCAGTTAGTGGGTAAAAATGTTTGCACAGTAGCCATTTCAAATGGCTCAGCCTCGTGCATGCATACATCTGTGGTACTCTGACCACATTGCCCTTGTTTTTCTCTCATTACACGGTAAACAACACACAGTAGGGCTTTTGACATTAAACATTTTTCAAAAATGCCTTTTGGAGGAATAAAATGTCTACTTTTTCTCTGCTGTAATGTTCAAGGAACTAATTATCTCATAGTAGGAATTAAATAAATGTTTATCAAATGAGTAACTGATGGGTAAACATTTTAAGTCAACTTTCTCTTTATCATCAGTATGAACAGTTAAGAGGTTTTTTTCTATTCCTGCCAAAGGTGAAAGATAATGCTTTCTTTTATTGAATAATATTTTAATTAACTCTTTCAAAATCTCATATAGTGTATTTTAAGCGTACTTACCTCCTCTCCTCACCTCCTCCCAGATCCACTCCTACGTCTCTGCCCACCTATCTCTATCTATGTATGTATCTATATGTCTACCTGTGCTTAATGTATGTATGTATCAATTATCTATTTATTTGTCATCTATCTATCTATCTATCTATCTATCTATCTATCTATCTATCTATCCAAACCATTAAGTCTAATTTGTGCTATCCAAATACTCCTGGATGTGGAACCTGCCCTGGACCCTTTTCCACTTACCAGGGGTCATACTCTTAAGGGAAACTGACTCTCTCTTTTTATCAGCAGCTATCAAGCTAATGGTTTCCATTGAACTCCCTAAACTTCAACTTTCCCTTCCCTTCCCTTCCTTTCCTTTCCCTTTTCTTCTGTGTTCTCAGCATTGTTTCCCTCTTGGAACTTCAAGAATTGCCAAGAGTTCACATTCAGAGCTTTTCAGTTATCTGGGGAGCATAGTGTTTTGTTTGCTGATAAGCAATTGGCTAGTGTATAGGAAAAGAAACAGAAAGAAATGACTGAAATGTAGATTGCTTTTCTTTACATTTATCTAATATCCTCTTGTCTCACGACTGCTATGTGGTTGGTACACATTCATTTCTACTGGATAATGCACAGGGAGGCATCATTATCAAGGGGACAAGGGCACTTTCTGCCTTTCCCTGAGGTTGTTGCTAACATCAGAGAATTAAGAGGAAGAATGAAACCATTCCCGGTCAAGCTCTGGGCCTCCCCCTTGTTCATTTGTGAACTGTCAGACCCTTGTTAGACCTGTTTTGTTCCTCCATATGGTGGTCCATGGCTGGCAGGGATTTCACAAGAGGCAAGAGACAGAGAAGCTTTTTTGTATTATTTTTCCTAACTATATTTAATTTTATAGTGATAAAATTGAGCTTCGTATTTTAGCCCCACAATTTTCTTTCCTTTCTTTGCAATGCTTGCAGAAAAGGTCTGAGTGAAGTTGATCCTGGTATGCTCTAGTTCCCGTGTCAGGATTCAGCCCAGTTGTATTTTCCAGGCGGTGAGACTGGCGTCACACCTTGCTTTGACACTGTCATATTGGTGGTTTCGGATGGCGAAGCTGGCCCTTTGGTGAATGGCTGTTGCTACAGTGGACCTGATCCATCTGTTCCTCTTCATGACTCCTTTCCCGTGTACGAGCTCAACATCACGGTGCATCCGGTTGACAACCAGCCACCTTCAGTTATAATAGGTGACTGTGCTGTTTCTATGCGATTAGTGTCAGTGTCACACCCAAGCCTCGCTGTAATACTTAGATTAGAAAGCTACCAAATGCAGTGATCAAATGCCATCCAGTGATCATCTCAACAGAAATATCTAACAAACACCAAATCTATAATTAAAAAAAAAATCACAGGGCAAAAGAATTTACTTGCTTGAAAATTATGTACTTCCATATATGAAGAGAATACAGCAGCAAATATGTTGTGTGTGTGTGTGTGTGTGTGTGTGTGTGTGTGTGTGTGTGTGTGTGAGCATTTGAGGACATTGAGATCCTCAAAAAAGCACTGGTTTATTTCACGTGGGAAAATACCATTTGCCTGCTGGAGAGAGAATAATTTATTTTATCCATAATAATTTCTATTAGAACAGAATGTGTTTACCACAGAGACCATTTATATACATTTAACCTTACATGCTTTTCAGAAAGTCATCTCTTCATAGGCATTATGTATATGTTCCGTCTCACGGAAAAAAATAAGCATATGTATGAATGTTCTTGTAATTTGCAAACTATCTCCCAAGCAATGTTCTGGAAAGGAAGCATTATCCCGGCAGAATAATTAAGCACCAAGGCATGAAAAAAATGTTCGTTATGAGCAATTCATAATCGCTCTCAGGCAATTAACGCTCTGACAAACGGAGGTAACGGCTGATCTTGAGGAGTACATAAACCGCATTTAGTGGCTTATCATTAAAACAGTTTGGCAATTCTTAGTTTCATTTGTCACTCTGTGGAGACACGAGGGAAATCAGAGTTCCCTGAGAATGACTGGAGGGCTGAGGCAGAGCATTTAGCCTTGCTGCCGCCTTTCCATTATCATCCGGCTGGCTGGTATAAGAAAAAACATACAATTCCATAAGTCAAATCAAATCCCACTCGCCACCCCTGAATATTTTCACTGCAAAGAGAATTTGTGCCCAAGAAAAAGAGCATCTCCCATGGAAGCACTTTTGCCTGTGGGATCTTTTGCATATTTGCTCTAGTTAGGATTGCAATCACGCCCTTTAGCTCTCACTATTCTGATGAGAGAACTGAGGCTAAGACATGAGTGTGTATTTTAAAATTTGGTCACATTTTTATTTACTTGCTTTGTGAGCCGCTGTGGGCACATGAGTGTGAGAGCAGGAACTGGTTCTCTCCTCCCACCCTTACATTGGTTCTGGGGTGGGAGGTCAGCAGGCCTGGCAGCCGGTGCCTTTACCCGCTGAACCATCACGCTGGCTCTTTGTACCAATTGCAGGTAGGATGTTCATGGTGGATGAAGGCTCCTCAGCAGCCCTTACTACTCATCATTTGACTGCCACTGACCTGGACACTGCCCCAGATGACTTAGAATTCGTTTTGGTTTCTCATCCCCAGTTCGGCTACCTAGAAAACACACTCCCTTCTGCAGGTTTTGAGAAAAGTAATATGGGCAAAAGCATAGGTAAGTCATGGTTTTCTCGCTAGGCCATGCTCAGGAAATGGGTAAGGATTCAGAAGCATTCAAGGCACCGTATGCATTTAAGAGATTATTTTTATAGCTGATGTGTTGAGTCTTAATTGGTTTTTCATTTTAACTCTTATCCTGACTTTTCCTATGTGTGAACATTTATAAGTGAAATGGGTTGCAACTTGAGTTATAAAAGATGTGTGAATATATACCGAAGTGCTCACCTTTCCACGGCCTTCCCGGCAGCACAGTCCTGAGCTAGACTTAGTCTGGTGAGGACCACAGGGTCTTAGTCTCAGATATTTAGCATGTTTAATGCATATTGCTGAAAAATACTGAGAATATGCTGTGTGTGGTACTGAAAGTGAAACTTGAAATAGTTAAGTAGATTAATTTGGAAAGCAAAATGTTTCTCAGTGACCAGAATAGCCCGTAGTAAAGCAAACCAGATAAAAAGCGAAACCCAAGTCTTCCAAGGGTAACACATTACTGGCAAGTTATTTTTCAAGGTCCCTTTAAGACATTTTTAAATATGAACGAGATTAAAGATTAATCAAATTAAAGGTTATTCATCTTTTCTTGAGATTTAATTCACGTCATAGGACACTTTTCCTCTTTTGATTTAAGGCTAGCTGAACATCAAGTTAACTAATTCCATTAATGCAATGAGTTTCTTGCTTTGTGTTACACAGACAAATCATTGGTTTCCACTCATTTCATATTTCTGTCAAAGAGGTGGTGTCCTTTGTCACCTAGTGTGACAAGAACCTTATGTCAGAAGGACAGTTTAGGTGAGGGCAGTTCTCCTTTCCTTTCAGTCTGAGCGCATGGAGAGTGGCCACGAAGCTGCCTGTGTCCTGATTATCGCAATTCGGTTATTCAGGCAGATTTGAGTCTTGTCTTAAGATCCCTGATCCCCGCCTTTGTGTTGATGGCTGGTAGGTGCCACACCAGTCCCAGCTATGGTCGAGCATCTACTTTGCAGAGAAGCAACTGTTAAAAATTGAAGCTACCTGGGAAGTGCTGTTTATCATTCCCTGTTCTGTCTTGGTGTGTGCTAGCTTCATTCCAGTGGCGAGACATGAAGGCTCTGCACATTAACTACGTGCAGTCCAGGCACCTGAGGGTGGAGCCAACTGCCGACCAGTTCATGGTCTATGCCACAGATGGAAAGCAACACTCGCTGGAGACAACATTTCATGTTATCATCAACCCCACAAATGATGAAGCTCCTGACTTTGTGGTACAGAATATCACTGTAAGAAACATACCAGAATGTTCCTTTTTCTGTTTATTAATTTTTGTTTTTTTTTAATTTTTTTTGCCTCGCTAACCCCTTTATGTTGGTCTAGGTGTCCCTAATATGTTAATTTGGTGAAGGGTGAGGAAGGCAGAATCTTATATCATATAATTGATCACTTGTGAACCATTAGCCTAATAATAGTAGTAATGGTAAAGATGATGATGATGATGATGATGATGATGTGTGTGTGTGTGTGTGTGTGTGTGTGTGTGTTATAGGGGACCCACACACCTACAACTTACTGGGGTGTGGGTTGTAGGCTCCAAGTCCTTTCCATGTATTGATAGTTAATCTTCACAAAAGGCTGTTAGGGTGCTTTTATTGTGATTTCAGTAGTGAAGAAATGAGGCCTAAATAGGTTAACTAAGTAGCCCAAGAGATTTATGGACATGCCAGAATTATGTCTATTATACTACATTTTTTCTGTATGTTTTTACTTATAAATAAGAGAATCATACCATCTTCTCTGTGCTTTACTTTCTAGAGAAAAACAAACATATATATATATATTTCTTGCTCCTATGTAGTTCCTTTTAAATATCATGACTCTTTATATATGGTTATTTAAATTATACACAAGCACTAACAAGTCAAATGAACACAGACTTTGGCCTCAACAAAACTTGGGTGTTGCTTTAAATATTTTTTGATTCTTGGGCAGGCTATTTATCTTTAAGGTTCTGTTTGCCCATCTTTAAAATTATATATCTAATTTTGTTTGAGAGTTAGTCATGATGATCAAGTTGGCCAAACACAGTAGGTCCTTAATGAGCAAATGTTTCCAGTACTTTTGAGTTTCATCTTTTTTCTATTATTGACCGAAGTCATTATTTCTGCTCATTATTTTTGCTAAAAATAATCACATTCTAAACGTGAAAGACTTTATTTGATTTTAATTTTCTACTGAATCTTAACGGCACACAAGCGTCACCTCAGCATGAGATTTAAGAGCCAACTCCTGCCTCTCCTCTTCTTTTGGCTTGCAGCTTACTCTGGAGAGCCCTTCAGTTATTATGTGAGGGGGGAAAAACCTTTAAATGATCCCTTCCACACCTATTTCCACTGTCTTTATCTGCCTGAGGCACGGGCTTCTGGAATAATTAGGCCTCTGGGAAGTTGTCCCTTACTCCTTTGTGGAAGTAATCATGTCTTTCACCCATGCTTCCTCATACATGCAAATCATGTGCAGACCTTTCGGGCATTGTCAGAGACAACCTTTAAGCGTCAAGAATTCTTTTTTTTTTTTTTTTTTTTTTTTCATATAACCACATTTGGCTTTCCTGTTAAGAAATTTCCTTACTGTACAGATAGCTGGACTTCCATCAGAACATTTTAGTTTATCATAAGCCTTTGCAAACCCATGCCATAGGAAATATTTGCTTTTTATGTAAATTCATTAAATTTTTTATTCTCATATTGTCAAAACATAATTTTATTTCCAAAAAAAGAATCCTGTAGGGTTGTTTTTTGTTTGTTTGTTTTAGAAAATTCTCTGGTAATCTTGTGAATGAATTTACTGTCTTATAAACAAGATAGATTACTACACAGTCAAGAAGGAAATGCTTCATGGTTAAGTTCCATAAAGATGGAGAGTTACAAAACGCTTTTAAGGTGTTTTAGTAGAGTTCTTAGGGGCTGGAAAAGTGATATACTGGCATGAACTATTCAATAGGTATATCATTATGAATGAATCTACGATGCTCTTTTAATCTTTAATGATAAAAAGGTCGTAAAAGAGCAGCGTTCATTGTTTTGCCCCAATATCACAGTGCAGCTGCAGGAAGGACCCTGGAGCCAGTGGGAGAAGCTGGAAAGGAAGCAAAATTCTCACCACATGGTCCCCTCAGCTGTGAGGAGAGCCTGCTGGCCTCCACTCTTTCATGCGTCTTGCTTCTTGATGTCCTGTAGCCCTTGATATTCCTTCCCTGACTACGCTGTCGATAGACAGGCCTTCCCAGTCCTTCCTGACTTTGATTCTTGGGAACATCTATGCTTCCTCTAGAATGTAGCACAGTGGCCTTGCAGAAAGGAAGGAAGCCTGTGTAGAATTTGCCTACTTTTATTTCTTAGCTCTTGCTGTATTTCAGAACAGAAAACAAATATTTCCTTGTTTTATCTAAGTACTAGATGACCAGTGAGCTTCTTGGATCAGTAGATACTCCATTTTGTGTGTGTGTGTGTGTGTGTGTGTGTGTGTGTGTGTAGTATGTCAGGTTCCCTGCTCTGTCATTTTATGCCTTTTTCCTTTAGATGAAGTCTCCTGTTGAACCTGGGGCTGGGCTGGGAAAGCCCCTAAACTCTTGCTGTCTCAACCCCTTCGCCTCCTGCCCTGACAGTGCTGAGGCTACAGGAGTTCTCATAGCCTCACCCAGTTTTTTATTGGGTGTTGGGGATCTGGGTTCAGTTCCTCAAAGTTTCGAAGCAAGAACTCTTACCTGCTGAGCATTTCCGCAGAACCCAAAATGAATGAAAAAGTATCTACTATAATAGTAAAAATTTGAAAGCCCAAATATTGGACTGGCAAAGTCACTAATAACAATAAAAAGGACAGGCAGCTGAGGAGGTATTGGAGGGGCCTTAGGGGGAAGGAGAGTGGATAGCAATGGATGACTGTGATCAAAATACATTATATACATGTATGAAATTTTAAAACAACAAATATGAAATAGTTTGGAAAAGAAATACCAAATTTGCTCTGTGTATGCAGTAAGTATTTGCTACTTCCAAAGAAAATAGAAACCTAAAAATTGTAGAGACAAGGAGTTCTGAGTTTCATAATGGATCACCGTCTGCAGAAAAGATTGCAGACTCACTTTTGCCCTGAGCTTTCCTGACTTCCAGACAGTAGGCGTACACATGCTTGCTTCCCCGAAACCTTTGAGATATTAACAGCATGCATGCTCTAAATTCTTAAATCGAATTTTTATTGTGTTTTTGCGTGCATATATATGGGAATGAGGAGACACGCATACCATAGCCCAAATGTTGAGGTTGGGACAAATTTGTGGACTCCGTTCTCCCGACTTTAATGTGAGTTTTAGGAATTGAACTAGGGTGGCTAAGGCTTGTGGGGCAAGCCCCTTTCCCTGCTGTGCCTTCTTACCAACCCCACATAAACACCATGGGAATACTGAAATGGGATTTCTTCATATAAGTGGGATTTTTAAGCAGCTTTTCAGAAGAAACAGGTGAATGTTCCATTTCACATTGCTGACTCTGCCGGCTTGCTCCTGCTCAGGTCTGTGAGGGTCACATGACAGAGCTGGATTCTTCCGTTATGAGTGCTGCTGACAGGGACATTCCCAAGGACCTCTTGCTCTTCAGCATCGCTCAGAAGCCCCAGCATGGCCTACTCATCGACGCGGCGATCAGCAAGGACCCTTCTCAGGTCAAGCAGCTGAGACATGAAATCCACAACTTCTCCATGGACCTTCTCAGGAACGGTAGCTCATGTTCCACTTCTGTTTACCCACTGTCGCTGACATCGTAACTTAGCTCCTCCCCATGTGTGGGCTCCAAACAAGCTGTAACAGTAGAAACAGAAATCAGATTTTGGGGACTAGAGGTGAGGGTACTAGAGTGAGAATCTGTGGATCAAAAGGTAGGAAATTTTAGTGCCACAAGACAAAGTTTGAGCCATCTGTTGTGCACTGTGGTGTGGCTGAACAATACTAAGAGCACACACATGACATGAATAGCCAGGTGAGGCCGTGCATATTTGCAGGATTTAAGCATGCCCCATGTTACACACACATCAAAATGTCAGGCTGTGTTTAATGCCCACAAATTTTTGTTAATTTATACATAAATTTAAAAACTGTTTTACACCCGTAAAGACACTAACAAGTCATAGAAATGTGGGGAAAGGAAGAGTTGGCACTTTAGCTCTTCAGTCTATTACAGGCTTTTGGTTAGTGAGGGGCACACAGCCCCTGCCTTCCACTGTAGGCAGCTGAAGACATAATAGCACATTTTCTTTGACTTTTAGAATGCCATTAACAGTCATATTTGTGATTTTCAGGTTTTTAACACAGAATTTTAATCATAATTAAAAATTTTCTTTCCAGACTATTCTGATCATGGCTTGTCTGCCAAAAATTTCCATAGTTGAAACAAATATAGATCCACATATAATAACCCCTCATTAGTCTCTGCGGGGATAATGTGTTCTTCAGGGAGATGATGCTCTGGAGCAGCCTGAATTGTTTTTTAATTACTTTTTTAAAGACCTTATCCCAGTTTCAATGTATAAAAATACTTTCAAGAATTTGAGCGAATATACCGCTCTAGAATTAATGGCTAATCTCATATGCTTCTCTTCTCTGTTTCATTTCTCCAACCTGAAAGGTGTTCCCTCACCTTGGGTTGGCCAAGGTGGAGTACTCTGTTCTCCTCCACAAGAAGCCCACCTTCTCTCCAGACCTGTCTCCTCCCTGACTAGTTTGTCCTAGTACTTCCTGGCTTGTTTCCTACTGTTTGAGTGTTTATTTCTCTAATTAGAATGTATCCTTTTTGTCCCAAAGGTTATTTTGTAATAACTGCAGATGTCATCTCACCTTTGAATCTGAAAAGCCAATTTGTTGTCTCGGTTTTTGTGAGTTGTAAAGAATTAAGCTCTGGAACTTCAAGGCTATCTTATAAGACCCAAATCAGACCCCATATGAGACAAATGATATCGTTACAAACATAGGGAAAGGGAATGATAGCTTAAAATTTACTCTCAGGAAAGTCTGATTTTCATTCTTTCTTTTCTGCTTTTTGGGCTGGGTTAGGTGATGCCTTCTTGTAATTCCAGCACCTAAGGAGTCTGAGGCAGAGGACATCCAGCTAAAAAAAATTTACATTTACTTATTTTGTGCATTTAGGGGAAGTTGTGGGGTGCCCGAGTGCCATAGCTAACATGTGGAGGTCAGAGGTCAACCTGTGGGATTTGGTTCACTCTTTCAGCCATGTGGATTCTGGGGTTCACACTCAGTTTGAAGATAAGAACCTTTATTTACTGAGATATTCAAAGGTCCAAGACAGTTTTTTTTTTGGGGGGGGGTGCGGTGATTTGAGGCAGGGTTTCTCTGTGTAGCCTTGGCTCTCCTGAACTCACTTTGTAGATCAAGCTGGTCTCAAACTCATAGAGATTTCCCTGCCTCTGCCTTGCAGAGTGCTGGGATCACAGGCATGTGACACCATGCCCAGTTCCAAGATAGTTTTTTTAAAAAGTGATATTATTGGTTGTAATTATCAGATTAGATAAGTATCATGTATTCATTGTCTAATTTTGGATAGCATAGTTAATTTAAACAAAAAATAAAAATTTCTTACATAAATGCATATTTTGATGACATTTTCAAAAGTTAGGTTTTACTTGTATTTTATTTCTGGTTCATTTATGGCTGTATTAAAAGTAACCCAAACAATTTGAATACATTCTTATAAACATCCCACCTCTAAAGATACAGAACTTACGAAACCCCTGCCATGTTATAATTATTTCCTGTGCATTCTAAATGGTACCTGGAATATTTTGGAAACTACAGTGTTTTACTAGTATACTATGCTAAATTTTTTCATAGCTGTTTCCTATTTTAAATAATCTTTTATATTTCTTGCCAGTAATGGTCATATGTCAGTGATCATTTTCCATAAATCTCTTGGTAGTTCTACAGCTTTGTAATAAGTTTTGAAAATAGTAAATTAAAGTTTTCAACTGAATATCCAAAGGACCATAAGGTTGGCTTAAGACACATGACTAAAGGTAGTTTTTACAGAGAAGTTTGTTGCAATTTATGATTCATTTTGGTGACAGCTCAAGACAGATCTTACTTTACTTTTGCACAATAATTCATTTTCTCAGATTCATGTAAATAGCGCACTGCCTTTGTTCTTATACGGTTTATGTGGTTTCCTTATTACAATAAGGAAATTTAATGGGCTATTGCCTCCATGTCTGCTTTCTCTGCAGGGTATCCAGGCTCATGGCACACCTGGCTGGACTAGAGAGAGTGAAGCTTAGTAGGGATGGGTGAATGGAATGCAGGGTCTTTCTTTGTCGGCATCAGCAGTGAGTGCAGGAGAAACAAACCTTTCCGGAGACAGCTTCAATGAGACAGCTTGTTTAACAGAGGGGCAACAAAGGCTATTTGAAACTTTGGGGAGTGGGGAGTGGCTTTCAGAATGAGTATGCATCATTGGCCAGGGCCAGGGTGCTGGGGATGCCGAATTTGCATAAGCAGGAATTCCAGGTGCTGCTAGACATGACCTTAAAAGAAGAAAGGAAGTTTAACCCATCTGCCAGGCTACCTGACCTCCTCAGGAGGGAAAGGGTGTGTTCACAGGGCTATGTGAGCTGGGGCATGCAGGCCCAGGAAAAGGAAGGAGAGGTTCTACTCCTGCTGATCTCAGGATAAGATCCAGACCAGCTCCCCCAGTTGCATGGCTTTCTGGCCCCACAGGCTATGAATGAATCCACAGAACAGAATTCATGTCACTCGAATGCACCAATTAGTGAACGTTCTGAACACCAAAGACTGATATTAAAATAGCGTATCTGTGGCATGTGGATGGTTCAACAAGAAGAAAGACCCTCTCCTTTTTTCGTCTTCCAGGAATGAAGCTGGCCTATGTCCATGATGACTCGGAGAGCCCTGCTGATGGCTTTGTGATCCAGTTGTCAGATGGGAAGCACAAAATACTTAAAACCATTTCAGTAAATGTCACTCCAGTGAATGATGAGAAACCAACACTAAGCAAGTAAGCAGACTGAAGGGAGTTGAAAGACTCTGGCTAGAGCCTCTCTAGACGGGGAGACCCCACTTCCCAAGAATCAGCGAGACCAGCCTTCGGATGCAAGCCGCAAGAGGTTTATTTCGATACACGGGTACCCGGGGCGACAAAGCCTTTCGGAAGACCTGCGCGCCCCTCGGTTGGGGTGACGGGTTTTTATAGGGTTAGGGAGCAAGAAGCACATTTACAGAAGCGAGAAGCATAGTTACGGGGATCTGATTGGGGGATTTGAACAAAGCCATAGTTAGGTTACGTATTTGGAGCAGGGAAGGCGGGAAAGCAGATGTGGGCTAAGTCACGTAGCCGGTTTAGAGAAGGCGGAAAGACTCCCGGCTCTTATCTTAGGTGTCCCGATTGTTTCAGGCGCCCAACCGCAGATACCTTGTGGTTGGACACCTGTCCTGCCCTGCCTCTGACCCTGTATTGCTTGTAAAATAGTGTTGCCAGCATTATGCTAGGGCTTTTTATTTTTTCAGGAGTCATTTCAGATTTGCATAAAGTTCTGTGACACTAGGTCCAAGTGGGTCCACTGTGTCCTCTTCCACCACGGCCCTTCCATTCAGGCATCAGGAACTTCCGGGGCCAATGTTGTAGGAAGCAGTGTCAAGACGGTGAGCCCTTAAGTGAGATTTTTCTAAAAGTTCAAGTTTACTGTAAAAATAAAATAACTGAACACAAAAAACCTAAACACACGTGTATATGCACGTATGCAGGCTTTCACACACGTGCACACACATGCAAAGTATAACCTATAACTCGAGTTACAATGTCAACTGCCAACAGTCCTCACAGTAGACTTCATCAAACTTGTAACTAAAAGTGCTCAAGGGAAATGCTCAGTCCTACTTTGCTCAACATCTTGGTACTTCGCTGTCTGCCAAATCTGTTCTATGTCCCGTAGCGGGGAGAGTGGAACCAACACCCCACTATCTATCGCATATCAAAATGCTACTTCTCAGAGCTCTAGCGTTATGAACTGCAAACCTCGCTGGTAACACCCTTGCAGAGAGTGGCATTTCTATAGGACCAGCAATTTCTTTTGCAATTGTTAAGGGTCACAGGTCACAGAGTGCAGCGATCTTTAGGAGGCCCAGAAGGCCTTTAGGGCTGGTTTCAGATATGAGTCTGGCTCTTGGCGCCTCGACTGAGACTCCCCTTTATTTAATGCTGTAGACATTAAGCATTAAGTAGGTTATCTAAATTTCCCCAGGATGGGAACACCTTCCTAGAAACCTCTAAACTCCCAAAGTCTCCTAGACTATGTCGGAAAAGAGACTAGACAAGTCTACACCTTACTCTGTCAGATTGTCACCTGTCCTTACTGGTTGCCAAATGCTCCGAAGAAAGTGTTATGGAAAATGCTTATGATAGGGTTTTGGAAGGCTGATTCTCAGACATCAGTTCAACAAAGAATATATATGAAACATCCGTGTCTTTATTTCAACGCTGGGATGTCAGATTGGTTTGACATTGACTTATAAATGTGAAAGAGGAAGCAGGATGAATTCAAGGCTAGCCTGGGGTGACACAGTGAGTTTGACACCAGCCTTGCTTACATGGGAAGACCTCTGACAGTGGGGATTGAAGGTTATAATACTGTTACAAACCTCTTTGTAATCATCACTTAAAGAAGGGAGAGAGATGGAAGCCAGTGTTTATCAAGTACTTACTAAGTGGCAGACACTTTACTAAATCCTTTATACACATGAATTTATGAGCTCCTCAGCTAAACACTGACCAAGACCAGAAAAGCAAAGGAGTCTGTGCACTGCAAAGACTCCTTTTTTTTTTTTTTTTTTTTTTTTTTTGCTGCTAACACCCTTGCAAATAGCTACAGCTACAAAATCCCAAAATCTTTCCAATCCTGCTTCATAATCCATCCTTTGTAAAATAGTAAGATAATAAGAATAATTACTGATCATATTTGTGGGCCACAATGTGACACTTACATACACATGAATAAAGTACAATGTCAGATCTGCTTGACTGGCCTTTCACTTCCTCCTTCCTTGTTTCCTGAGGAAGAGAGCAGCGGTTGGTTCCTCCTTTCTCTTCCACCTCTTCCCTCCAGAGCATCTTGCTCCAGTTGTTGTCTTCTTCTGCACCTCCAATTTCTCCTGCTTCTTTCCTTCTGTTATTAAGACCCTGGGCATAGACGCTGGTTAAGAAATGTTGAGACAGAGTGACTCAGATGGCTACTTATCAGAGGTATGACCTTAAAACACTCTCTCTGCCTCTCCTTGAAGCCTTTCAGTGGATGAGGATAACGTTAGCATCCTTTTCATAGGATTGCTACAAGTAAGATAGGTTAAAGTGCTCCAGGGATTGTACACAGTGCGTGATCACAAATACTTTTTGTTGTCATTATTACAGGCAGTTCTCCCCATTCTAGAAATGACCCCCCTGTTCATTTCTGCCAAGAGTAGTTTAGTCTTTGCTAGTACTTGACCCCATTTCCTTGATGGTTCCTTTAGATGCCATGGTAGAAGCTTCTGTCCCCGAGTTCCAGCACCTCAGTCTACCTGTGCTGTGCACAGGATCAGTGTTCCACTTCAGATGCTCACGATGTGAGGCTCCACTTTTCTCCTTAGGAAGCTACCTCAACTCGTGCAGACAGTTGGTAACAGTGGGGATGGACAGTCGGTAACTGTGAGAGAGAGTAAATAAGACAAAAGTCCCACCTTTCTGCCCTCCGGAAGCTTAATCTTGTCATGCTCGGCATGGGTCCTCAAAAGATCCTAGCTGGGCACTGAGGCGTGTGTCTGTAGTCTCAGCTCCTTGGGAGGTTGAGGCAAGAGGCTGTTCTGAATCTAAAGGTTAGAGACTTCCTGACCAACTTCGTCAGGTCCCTCAACTGCCTTCAGCAATAAAATCACTCATTGTTGCCCTTCCCCTGTCCTTCTTGCCAGCTCCCATCTATCTACTTCCAGGATCCCTTTCTACAAAATTACCCATAACACAGTCCTTTCCCCCAAAGTTCCTTGTAGGGCAACTCAGATTGTGATACTTGCCATTGCTGCCATGTAATTCTGACATGCTTTTCCTACCAGCCTTGTCTTTCTCACAGTGACTTGTGGCCAAGTTTCATTTTATAAAAGGCACCACTGACCACCAGATTCTTTAGCTTTCTAGAATACTGTGATTCCTCCTCCCCATTAGGAAGGTAGATGAAGTCACCACGTCCTATGAGGGAAGCTGACAGTTCTAGGCTGGCAGGGATCCCTCTTTGAATGAGAGAGGCTGGGAGGAAGTGTCAGGCGTTGGCTTCTCTGCAGAAGACCGGGTGTTCGCTGATGTCACTTGTGAGCTGTGATGTCCTTGGTCCCAAGGCTAAGACTTCAAGCATGCCCATCTTTCTCAGAAGCAAGACTTGTGGACAGAGTAGTCATCTGTGGTCTCACTGTGATCACAGTGGAGAGCTAGAAAGAGCTGGTGGAAAGAAATCCCTTCCTCACTTGGGTGAGGCGGGGGAAAGCCTTCAGTGTCCACACAGAAGCAGCAGCTGCTCACTGCCCCATGCGTTCATGCTCCCAGTTGGCTGTCCAGATGCCAGAAGCCAGCCTGGTGGCTCCATCTCTTCAGGAAAATGAGCCTCTATGAAGACCACATGCACCAGGGCCTTTTCAGGAGGAGGAAGAGACTAGAGGACCAGAGATAACCAAAGAGTATCAACGACAGGAGGGCATTCAGGAAGAGCCTGGGGACATTATATAAGTTACTTTCAGTAGGCTTCTATGTGTCTAGTTAGATATAGCTGACCTACTTTCTTCATGGAGACATTGTAAGCATTAGATGAAAGAATGAATAGCAGATCCTTATATAAACTACATGTGACATAAAAATGTAATGTTCTCTTCATGTAAACCCCACAAACCTCTCTCACCTGGCCCCCTAGTAATGGCTGCTGGGTCACACTACCTTTTCAGACTTTGGTCATGCTCCTTTTTCAGACTTTGGTATATGACTCAGTTTCCAGTACTTTGGGTATTGGTTATTACTTGTTAATTCTTGAGGTTGGGACCCGTGATAACCAATACAAGAATCCACCTTCATATCAACACTGGCATTTTCCCTTCTACAGGGAGGCCAAAATCTCAGTGGCTGTGGGCGATACGCGTGTTCTGTCTAGTGCTGTTCTTTCAGCCGTAGATAAAGACTCACCCAGGGAGAATATTCACTATTTATTTGAAAGACTTCCCCAAAATGGGCAACTTCAGCTTAAGGTAAGTGACCTTTTAAAAATAATCAATTCTTATTTTTAATGCGTGTGTACCCAGATGAGTTATATGTGTTATATGTGCCAGTTTTTATATGTGTTATATGAATTATATGAGTTATATGTGCCAGTTTTGAGCAGGTGCCTACCGAGGTTAGAACCTTTGCAGCTAGAATTATAGGTGCAGGTGAGCTGCCTGTTTTGGGTGTTGTTCTTCTGCAAGAGCAGCGTGTGCTCTTAACCACTGAGCAATATGTCCAGCCCGAGAGTGGCCCTATCACCTTCATTTCCCAAAGCAGATGTGAACTTTACCAATATACGCTCTTGTGCAATTACATTTATTCTCACATACGCGTAGTTTTCATTCGAAAGTAGAGCATTTCCTTTTCCTGTTAAGAAAACTTTTGAATATGTTTCCACTCCTCCTTTTTCTTCCTCCCCAACTCCTTCCCTCCGTCTTCAACTTCTACTTTCGCTCCTTCCTAATGCCTGTGTCCTCCTCTCCCATTCCAGTGCCATTCATTTCACTTCTCTCATTTTCTCTGCCGTACTCGAAGCCGTTCTCAGGAACATGGCAACATTTAAAAATCTGTCTTGGTGACTGTCTTTATCAGGAAATCTCTTTTTCCAGCCTCATGGAAATGTTGTGAGAAGGCAAAATCTTGAATCAAAAAACTACACTAGGCAAACCTTCAGGTCGTGGCCATCCCTCCACCCCACTGATGGCTGTCATGTCTTAGTAACTGCTGTATTAGAATCCATCAAACTGTGTGACAGTAAAGCAACATTCCTGCATTTGTATGTGTTCCAAACTTAATGCTTTAATGGAAAGTGGAAAACATGGGAACATGAAGGCACATGAAGGGTTAAGTCACTCGGGCTCTGGTGCTAACTGTTCCAGGAGCTTGCTCACACCCTCTTGATTCCTTTTAGTCCTGTTATAGCAGATTTCTAGTCTATTCAGACTGCAGCCGTCATGCTTAATGACTAGCCCAACCTGAATTATAGATCAGCCACTGGAGAAGGTCAGCCGACTCAGGGGTCAAAACGTTTACATGAATGGTGGCTAGAGACCAGCAACAACCTCTAGCCAACCTCGATGTGATTACCTGAATGCTTGAGTCTTAATCTAATGCAGGCTCAGTTTAGAATAGAAAAGCAGCGAGGATTCATTCTGTGGGGAACAGCTTGATTGTCACAGAGTGTGGGTACCACAGAGAGTCAGAGAGAAGAGCAATCACTGATTTAAATTGAGGTACAGCTGTGTCCTTATTTCATTTCAAAGCGTAATGAAGCAGAAACGCAGTGAGAGTGCACACGTTTGGGTGGCTTGGGGCCTGAGTGGCTTCAGATATGAGAAGATCCAGATGGGTCCAGGCCCCAGCAGGGCTACACACCATTTTCTCACACCTCCCTCGGGCTCGCTGAGGCTGGCTGGCTGAGGCTAGGGAACAGGTCTCCAGGCCTCCTGGACTCTCAAGGCTTCTTATTTTCTTGTTAGCATCCCTTCATTTGTGTTTGTTTGTTTGTTTGTTTGTTTGTTTTGTTTTGTTTTTTATTTTAAGTTTCTCTCTCTTTTTTTTCCCCTTCCTTTTCCTGGCATCAGATGATTGTGTTGTTTCAAACTCATATTTGGGAATGTAAATGAAGAATTAGAAACAAGAGCGCAAATGATGCCTTCCCCTGTATTTATTTTCTAGGACAATATTATCAAGAGGAAAAGTTAAAAGCAATTCCATGCAGCCTGGCTTAAAACGAGTCTATTTGAAAATCTTTATTTGCAAATATACCCGCTAAAAGGAAAAATAGCTCAGCTTAACTGTTGTGCTATAAGTTACTTCACTCAGCAGACTTGCACAGGTCTGCAAATGTCAGGTGGGCAAAAATGTTCCAGGAGAAGAAATCGCACCAAGTAGGAGAGCTCAAGAGGAGTGATGATGTAGCAGAAAGGAACTGGGGATGGATGACTAACAAAAAAGAAAACACACATGACTTAAATGTGCTCCAGTCTGTTGGCCAGACAGGCAAACTGCACTGCAATTCTTATTGTGAATCACTGAAAAGGACATTTTCTTCTAGTTATATTGAATGATTTTTTGCGAACTATTCTTAGGGAAAGCTATGCTAGGAATTTAAGAGAATTAAAATAGTATTATTTTTTAATTTTATAATAATAATAATAGTATTATTATTTTAACTTTAATTAAGAGAATGTAAAATAGTATTATTAATACAATATAAATTTATTATTCCATAATAATTTTCCAGTTATTAGCCAGTCTGCCAGCCTAAAAGCCTTTCAATAACAAAAATGCCACAATTTCTGCCCCCCAAACTGTACAAAATACGTGTTTAACTAAGGTTGAATTCAGCTTCGAGATCCAGATGGAAAATGTAGATGGTATTGACTGTCTACTGTGTGTGTGTGGTTCGGGGAATAGGGGGCGTGATGGGGATCTGACAGCTTCCTTTAGGTTTTAGTAAGGCTGGACAGTGGGCTGGGGAAAATGCTAATGCATTCTGATTCTGTTTTACCCAGTGAGCTTGTAAACACAAGTCATGTTGAAAAAAAAAGGGTGTGTGTATTTTATTAGTTATACAAAATTCAAAACTAAAATAAATAAAAAGAGGGAATTCCAAAAGAAACATATTTAGTTTCTAAGCAGCCAGTTCCAGCAACTGATTGCCCACCTGCTCTCGTTAATTGGGATATTTAATCAGCCATGATTACTGATGATAAATACTTCGGAAATACCAGTGCTGTTGAATGGCTTTGTCAAAAGTCCTTTGGTTGAAGCTGTTTTTCACCCAAGGTCTTTAATTATTTTAATATATTTCTTTGAAAGGAACACACACTGGTGAAGAGTAGCGTAGAGTTTCCCCCAAGCATCCCTATCAGAAGTTTTCAGGGCATGGGGAAAATGTCCACTATGAACCAGGGAAGCCAGAAGGCTGCCTGACTGTAGCACCTTTCAGATAGGGAGGGACTGGATCCCTCTCTCAGCTGGCATGCAGTGCACTCAGGAGGACGTGGACCTGAACTTGCTGAGATACACACACACTGGCAAAGTGGGTTCCCAGGATGGAGACAGCTTCACCTTCTACCTCTGGGATGGGGATAACAGATCACCTGCATTTGACTGTCACATCATCATTGAAGACTCTGGAAAAGGTAAGAGTGCGTTTACCCATGCTTACTGGGGCCAGTGGTTGTCAGTAGAAATGAGCTGGTTTAAGTCCACACATTTGTGAATTACAGGCCAAGAAAATTTCCTGACTTCCTTCCATAGGTATCAGGCACACACATGATACACAAACACACCCACTCAGGCAAAACACCAATATATGCAAAGCAAAATAACAAAAGAAAGAAAGGAAAAAATGTTTAAGCAAAGGACAATGTGAGTTCTTGATACTCAACTGCCGCTATTCTATAATTTATGAACTTACACCAGGAGGTTAGGAATCCTATCCTGTTCGCAGACTCAGGGTCTACACACTTTCAGATTAAACAGTCTTTGATCCTTAGTACATGCTGTATTGACTGAATGCTTCCTTATTTGGTCGTGAAGCTCAGAACTAAATTCAGTGATTTGAGTGCAATTTAAAAACCCCAACAACTTTATTTTATGCATGTGGAATAATTACAATTGTCCTCAATTAATTTTTATATGAGTTAATGTTATTCCTTACATTTTATTTACTTGCTTTCCAGTTATAGAATATATTCTGTGATTAAGGATGATCAGATAAATAAAGTAGATGATGCTGAGTACATTTATTCTTTTCTGCAAAAATATCACTGTACTGGTTGGGTTTGTACAGCTTGACACCTGGGAAGAGGAGCTTTAGTTGTGAAATTGCCTCCATCAGATTGAACTGTAGGCAAATCTGGGGCTATTTTCTTGGTTAATGATTGGTGTGGGAGGGCCCGTTCTACTGTGGATGGCACCACCCCTGGGCTGGTGGTCCTGAGAAGTAGAAGAAAGGAGGCTGAGCAGGCCATGGGAACAAGCTAGTAAGCAGCCTCCCTCCAAGGCCTCTGCTTCAGTTCCTGCCTCCAGTTCCTACCTTGGGCTCCCTTGATGATGGACTGTGTGACCTGTCAGCTGAAACCCTTTCCTTGCTCAAGTTGATTTGGATCAGTGTTTAATCACCACAACAGAAACGTAATTAGTACAATTGTGCACACAAGATGCTAGGCAAATGGAACACTCTAGCATTTTGGCACAAGGGAGGCGATGTGTCAAAGCAGGCTTTCTTCTCAGTGTCTTAGTTTCACAGCAGGGGAGAAGACATTCCACAGGCACCTGGGCCATCTCCTGTCCAGTCACCTCTTCATCTCTAAGTCCATAGTCACTTAGGAAGTGAGAGGCTGAGAAAGAGCTCATGGACCAAGGTCTCATCGATTCTGCTTGAAGGCAGCTCACTTTTCTTTTATGCCTTCCAGTGGCTGAATCACAGTCATAGGATATATTCGGGGAAGTTGGGCAATAGAAGCTTCCGCATGTACCCAGAAAGAAATGACCCTAGGTTACTGAGCACCTCACCACACCGAATTAATGTGCAATTGTTTTCAAAACGATTTATGAAAACCCATAGTAAGTGGTCAGATGTATTTATCCACGAACATTTAAGAAGCTCAGAATTTCTCTTGCTTCTTTGTATTGTTGTTTTATCACTGTGCAACATTGTACCCTGTTTTCCTGCTGTTTTTTTTATGCTACTTAATATGACATTTATAAGTTGCTTATGTTTCTCACGACTTCACAAGCATAACTTTTTATGAGATCCATTCATATTTTTTATTTAAATTTTTTTTGAATGTGTGTGAGCTTTGTGTGTATGTCTGTGTGTCACATGTGTGCCTGGTTCCTGTGGAGGCCAGAGGAGGGTGTCAGATACCCTGACACTAGAGTTACAAATGGTTGTAAGTTGCCATGTAGGTGCTGGGAACTGAATCCAGGTCCTCTGCAAAGAGCACCCAGTGCCCTTAACCACTGAGCCATCTCCCCAGCCCAAGCCTAACTTATCTCAAGCAGAGCCATACTGTGTAGCTGGCTGAACTATTTTCTCTATCCAGAACATATGCTCAGCTATGTCTAGGACCTATTATAAAAACCTTTCACCTTCCAGCTGTGATGTGATGAGTTCTTATTTCCACAGTGGCAGAAAGGATGCCTTTAGGAGCCATTTAGGGTGCACAGGTCTGCAGTTTACCCATGCCACTACTCGGCTTTGAAGCGCTGGAGAGCGAGTGGCAGAAAGGCAAGAGCTGGGTGCCCTACCCCCGCCCCACAGGCAGCTGTGCTCCTGGTAAAAGCACCCTGTAACATTTTAACTTTCCCTTCCTTGTTTGTTCCTCTTACTTCCTCACAGCATCTGAGGCTTAGATTTTCATTGGAATTTAGAATAATCTTTAATTCTTGCATTTCAGTTGGAGAAAAAAAAGTCAGTATGCCCAAAATACCAGTTTGGTCATTTGAAACAAAATTTCACAATCTTGCCAGTCCTGGGATTATTCACCCTAGAATGAAACACTCATATACATTAAATAAATAAACAAACACATACATACATACATACATACATACATACATACATACATACCTAAGATGTCTCCAGACATTGGCAAACATCCCAAGGGGGTGGGCTGGGGTGGGGTGAAGCGTAGGGGTGTAGTGTGCTGTATGAATTTGTGTGTGTAGTGTGGTCTGCATGCGTGTGCATGTGTGCTGTGTGTGTGTGTGTGATGTGATGCATATGTATGATGTGGTGTGTATGGTATATGTGTGTGTATGAGTGTGTGGCATAGACTGTGTGGTATGGTGTATGTGTGAGTTTTTGTGTGTTATGTGGTGGGGAGGGCACTATCAGCCCTCGTTAGAAATGCTCATCTGAAACTGTACTATCTTGGGCCAAAAAAAAAAAAAAAAAAAAGTCTCAGTGGGTCAAGGAACTTGCCCAACAACTCAGTTTCAATCTAGCAAACCCACATGGTGGACAGAGAAAACCAATTCCTTCAAATCAAATTGTCCTCTGACCTACACAGACACACGCAGACATACACATACACACATACTGAATAAATAAATGTAAAAATAAGTTAAGCCATCTTGATGTTTTGTTTTTGTTTTCTCAAGAGATTTGTCTTAGTTACTTTTCTGTTGCTGTGACTAGATATCATGACCAAGGCAACAGAGGGACATTCCGTTTCAGAGGGTTAGTCTGTAACCATCATGACAGGGAGCAAGGCAGCAGACAGGCAGGCATAGCTGAGAGCTTACATCTGACCCGCAAGTGGGTAATAGCGAGCCAACTGGAAATGTCCTGTAGTTTTGAAACCTCAAGGCTTACCCCCCAGGGACACACCCCCTTCAACAGGCCACACTTCCTAATCCTTCCCAGTCAGTTCTACCAACTGGGGATCAGGCATTAAAACATACAAACCCATAGGGCCCTTCTCATTCCCTAAGAAGTCTTATTGGATCTTGTGTTTTCAATCTATCTCACGTATTTATTTCATTTTCTTGTTGGATATTCACCCATTTAGTGCTGAATACTGAAGAGGGAGTGGCGCAGTGCAGTGCTTATGAGTTGGGCCTTTAGTGAGTGACTTTTAAAGCCAATTCTGTCTCCCACTCTCAGTAAGAGAGAGTCTCTAGCACTAAACAGTGCCTCCACATCCCAAAGTTATAATCTGGAGGCTGGGATAAAGCTCCTCCCTGAAGCAGAGCCCCACCCCCGTGCCTGACATGGAGCAGCCCTGCTCATTTTGATTGTTTACTTACTTTGTGGTGTTAAGAATTGAGCTTTGGTCCTTGTGCATGCCAGGCAAGCACTTTATAACTGAGCTGTATCTCCAACTCAAAGCTTTATATTTTAGGTACGATTATTTTTAATGGATCTCTAGTAAATGAAGCTGGTTTGTGAAATGCCGTCAGCCTATATGCTAATCACTTCTATCTTGCTCATTCATACACTTGTCTATGAATTTTTTAACATTATAAAATAGGTGTATTATAAAATGAGGCTTTGTTTCTTCAGTGAAGTGTTCACTCAGTCCTTTTGACTGATAAGTTAGAAAGTCCTTGCCAGGTGATGATGGCAAACACCTTTGATCCCAGCACGTGGGGGGCAGAGGCAAGCAGATTCCTGAGTTCGAGGCCAGCCTGGTTTATAGTTTTAGAACAGCCATGGCTATACAAAGAAATCCTATCAACAAACCAAACCAACCAAAGCAAAACAAAACAAAACAAAACAAAGGTCTTCCCACAGCAGGTTAGTCTTGACTTGAGCACACTTTGCCCTTTGTCTTTTATACTTACTTTGGACATTGTATGTTACATTTTTCTGCAACTTGGGGGAAGAGGACCTATCTTGGTTTAAAGCGCTAAAGGGACAGTCCATCATGGTGAGGAAGGCATGGTGGTGGCAACTTAAGGCAGCTCGCTACCCACTTTGCATCCACAGTTGGCAGACAGAAACATGAAGGCCAGTGCTCAGCTTTGTTGTCATATAATCTGCCCCACCAGTTAATGATACCGGTTAAGGTTTACATTCAGGGTAAACCCTTAGCAGTTCCAATTTCTAGAAACACTGTAACAGACACACCCTGAGTTGTGTTTCCATGATAATTCTAAACCCAAACAATTTAACAATGAACAGTCACCATCACAGGGATCACATTTGTTTGGAATTTAAAACATTTTGACAGTGTCGTCCATGAGTGCTGTATTTGCAGCTTCTCCACTCTCACCTCTCCTCTCCAGCGCCTTCCATTTCCATTTCAGTGCACCTCCCTCTCAAACCTTTGGCTTCTTCTTCTTTAATTACTACATACCAGACACACAACCTGCTGAGTCCATCTAGTCCATACCTGTGTTTAGGGCTAACCCCTTGGGACTGGATAACCTGTCAGGGGCTCATTCCTGGAGAAGACTGATTGCCCCTCTTTCAGCAGCCATTAGCTGCCTGTCACTCTCCATCTGAGGGGTGACCGAGCCTTGTGAGATTTCCCCCATACACATTGGCATGTCAACTGGTATTGTCATTTTGTAGGCCTTGTTTAGGCAACCATATTGTTATGATTTCATGGGGCAGCTACCCCCTCCCATAAAGACGACACTGTTTCTGTAGACATCCTGCTCCTCAGACGTAGTCTCTCTGCCCTTCTTCCCTTGTGATCCCTGAGCTTTAGGTTATGATATAAACGTTTCAGCTGGGGCTGGGTGCCCCAAGGTCAGTTGTTCTCTGCATTCCAAGCTGTTGTGGATTTCTGTAATAGTTCCATCTCCTGCAAAAAAGGATGTTCTTTGATGAGGGGTGAGGGAGTTTACAGCTGAGTAGGATGACTGGCTGCTTTTCTCCCTTGGCAGCTTGCGTGCTGTCTCCAACACTTGGAGAGCCGGTCTTCGGGGACATGGCTTCCAGGTCAGACGCAGCTCAGTCTCTCCAAGTCCTGTGTCTGAAGTGTGTGATGCCTTCATCAATGGGGACATTGAGTATTTTTTTTTTTTTTTACAATTTATTTATTTTATATCCTGATTGTAGGCCCCTCCCTCATGTCCTCTATCCCACCATCTATCCCTCGCTCCCTCTTCCCCACTAGCCCCTTCCCCTACTACATTGAAAGGGGAGTCCTCCCCCTGCCGTCTGACCCTAGCTTATCAAGTGTCATCAGGATTGCCTGGATCCTCTTCCTCTATGGCCTGGTAAGGCCGCATCACTAGGGGGAAGTGATCAAAGAGCAGGAAAACCGGTATTTTAAATATGAATCTTAACTAAAATCTTCTTGCCATGCAGGTGATATTGTCATTCACGCAAAACCACTCGTGGTAGCCAAAGGTGACAGGGGTTTCTTGACGACTGCCACTCTCCTGGCTGTGGATGGAGCAGGCAAGCCTGAGGAATTGCTCTACCTCATCACTTCCCCGCCACAGTACGGCCAGGTGGAGTCCGTTCACTATCCTGGAGTTCCCATTACCAGCTTTAGCCAAATGGACATAGCAGGACAGACAATCTGCTACACACACAAGAGCAGGGCAGCCGCCCCCAACGACAGCTTCAGGTAAGCCTATGACATTTTTCTGAACCCCTTCCTTAAATTAATGCTTAGGAAGAGAAACAAGAGTGAGGTTAGCATACCCCATGCACTAGCCATTTTACTGTGTGTCTCCCTAACATCTGCTTAACCCAAGGATACATGAAACAGTGTTATCTTTTAAAGGAAGGAAGATATAAGTCCTTTTCTGGTTCTTCTGTGGCTGTGTTTTCGTCTGTTTCCTGACTGAACTAAAAGAAAAAGCACATTATTGAAATGGCAGAAGCAGGGCAAACAAGCAGAGCCATTGTTAAGAGCAAAGAGTGATAAGCAGATCTGTGTTCAAGCTCTTCTCTGAAAGGAACACAAAGAGCTGAGAAGACCCTCGTTCCAGAACGACACAGAAACGTAATTTCCCCTTTCTGCATGCATTTTTCTATCTGAGAAAAAGGCACTTATTAGCATAATAAATTTGGCATGAGCAGACACTGCCTTTTGACACAACATGTTCCTGTAACTATATCATAAATCACATTGTCACAAAGTGGATCATATTTCCCCATAGAAACCAGGTTATAATTGGGGGCTGTGCACCTGCTGGAGGATTCAGTATCAAATAAATCACTGGGGGGAGTAACGATCTGGGGCGCAAAGGCAAAGATACAATGCTAAGGCAAATCTGTATCCATTTAAAATGTGGATATTGGTTTCCAGTCTCACAAAGCAGGAGAAATTCTGACAGTTCTGTCTAGTGCTGGGGGAAGCTGGCTGGACATGCGGTCCTTGATAAAATTGGAGACTCGGGCCAGGGATCAGAACCAGGCAACCTTGGATTAGTCATTGAGTATATGACCCACTGTTCACTTTCGCCAGCTAGAGAGCATTAATTACTGGGGACTTCTGAGCTCCAGGAAGATGTCTTGCCCCATCCACCTAACCTTCTGGAGCACGCTGTAGAGTAACAAGAATTGCAGACGCCCGTATGGTCCAGTGGGCAGCATAACTCACATGAGCTGTAAGGGCGTCCACGTTGAAATCCCTCTCTTCTGGGTCACATTTGACCTCTCAAAATTCCTGCCGTGATGGGCAGTCTGGGGCAATGAGGACGGTGTCGCGTACCGTTTGAGTGTTGAAGGTGATTTAATGACCCAGATTAAATCTAGTGTTAAGCAGCAACAAGAATACTGACAGATATGAACTGACGTGTCCCACCGCCCTCTCTCTTGTATGTGCGCTCCTGTGGGGGTGGCACACGTGTGTGCAAGTCCACACACACGTGGAACCCAGAGAAGAGCCCTGGGTGTTGTTCTTCAAATGCCATCTATCGTGTTTTTCAGATAAGGTCTCTTATTTAGCCTTGATCTTACTGGCCAGGCCAGGCTGACCAGTGAGCCCTGGAAGGCCCCCGCCCGTCTCCACCCCTAGCACCGGGACAACAAGCACACACTAGTACGCTCAGCTTTTTATGTTGGTTCTAGGGTTCAAATCCAATCCTCAAGCTTTCAGATCAAGCCCTTTACTACCTGATCCATCTAGGATATCGATAAAGAGGAAGGGGGTCAGGAAAATATCCTCAAACAGGAAGGTAATTATCTAATTGAGCAATAGCTTCACTGAGTTTGTGCTTGAGTGTTGTTGGGCATTAGAGAAAACATCAGAAGAGAGAGAGTCCTCTTCTAGTTGGCTCCTGTGTTTGAGTGCTATGTTACTATTGTGAGAATACAGGCTCAGGGTCATTTATTGCCTCTGTGACTCACGGCTCCATGAGCTTCGTCAAGTGACACAGCCACTCGTGTTGTTGCTCCTTCTACGGGACCGCATAGTGCTCCTTGTACTAGCCAAACAGGGTCATAGGGAGGCTTAAAGGAATCAGGCACCTGCTGTGCATAGACACATAGGCCTATCGGAAGAACTGAGTTAGCACTATCTGCCATTGTTATTATCCGGGCGTTGCCACTGTTATCATAGTCTTTCCTCGGCCACTGTCTCGCCTTCCGTCTTTGCAGTAGCAAGCGTGGTCATGGCAGAGAAGGGAAGTCTCAGACAGGAGTGGGGCCTGTGCTTTCCTCTGTCTGCCGAGGAAAGTGGGTACTCCTCGGTCTCATTCATGCCCACCAGAACCACGGATTTTAATTGTATATTCATTTCTGGGGCCCTTTGCTTCTGTCCATTCCTGATTCTCTAGTTAATGCCCATTAATGTCAGCTTCAGACATTAATGGCTGCTGGAAGAACTGGTGAGCTGGCTGGGGAAACCAGTGAGTGAATACATACAGATGGAGGGAAGTGAAGGCAAGGTGCTAAGATGGCGAAAACCTAATCCCAAATCCCTTACTCGGGACTAGTGACCCTGTGAAATGCCTGATTCAATCAGGGAAAGTCACCTAAGTTGTTGGCATCCATCTCTCATCTATCTATCTATCTATCTATCTATCTATCTATCTATCTATCTATCTATCCATTCATTTTGAATTTTGTTTTGTTTTTCTTTCATATATATATATATATATATATATATATATATATTACAATTTATTCACTTAATGTCCCTACTGTAGCCCCCTCCCTTATCTCCTACTGGTCCCACCCTCTTCTCCCCCTATCTCCCTCCCCTAGTCCACTGAAAAGGGGAATCCTCCTCCCCTACTATCTGACCCTAGCCTGTCAAGGGTCATCAGGACGGCTTGGATCCTCTTCCTCTGTGGGTTGCCAAGGTCGCCCCTCCAGGGGGAAGTAATCAAAGAGCAGACAACCAAGTCCATGTCAGAGACAGCCCCTGCTTCCCTTACTGTGGACCTACATGGAGACTAAGTTGCCTATGGGGAGGTCTGAGCAGAGGGACTAGGTCTTTTCCATGTATGGTCCTTGGTTGATGCATCAGTCTCTGCTGGCCCGCTGGGCCCAGATTTTTTTTTTTTTTTTTTTTTGGTCTCTCTGTGGAGGTCCTATCCTCTTCTTGTCCTTCTATCCTCCCCTTCTTCCATAAGACTCCCTACATTCTGCCCAAAGTTTGGCTGTGGGTCTCTTCATCTGCTTCAATCCCCTGCTGGGTGGAATCTTTCAAAGGACATCTATGGTAGACTCCCATCCTGTTCCCTCTCTTCCATAGCTTCCAGGGTCTATCCTTTTGTCTTCTGAATAAGAATTAGGAATCCTCCTTAGGGTCCTCCTTGTTGTTTAGCTTTTTTAGGTCTGTAGATTTTAGTATGTTTATCCTATATTATATGACTAATATCCACTTGTAACTGAGTATATGCTATGAATGTCTTTCTGGTTCTGGGTTACCTCACTCAGGATAGTCTTTTCTAGTTCCATCCATTTGCCTGAAAATTGCATGGTTTCCTTGTTTTTAATAGCTGAGTAGTATTCCATTGTGTAAATGTACCACAATTTCTGTATCCATTCTTCAGTTGATGGACATCTAGGTTGTTTCTAGATTCTGGCTATTACAAATAAAGCTGTTATGAACATAGCTGAACAAATATCCTTGTTGTATGGTAGAGCAAGGATGTGGAGAAAGGGGAACCCTCCTCCATTGCTGGTGGGAGTGCAAACTTATGCAACCACTTTGGAAATCAATCTGGTGCTTTCTCAGAAAATTGGGAATAGCACTACCTCAAAATGCAGCTATACCACTCCTGGGCAATTCTCCTTGAGATATTTACTTTCTTTAGCTCTTCAGAGAGGTACCTGGGAGTACTACTACAAAATCCAAATTCTTGAGCCTTGTGCCCATTTCGGTAGGTCCAGTCTCAGCTGGAATTGGTCTTTTGGAAAGCTCTCCAAAAATCTGATGCTTCAGGACCAGCATCCCTGAGCTGGCCTACTCCATTTCTCTGAGTGTGTTCCGAGCCTCCATGAGAATTTCCAGAAGCTCTACCAGGGCCTCCTGGAGACAAAGAGAATTGGGTGGAGGTTGGTTCCACAGGGCTCTGGGGTCCTCACCTCACCGTACTAACTAGACTTCACTTTGTTTTGTGTCTTGACATTCAGTTTTCTACTTGGTTTTGCATACTTTGAAGGTTTTCTGCAGCAGAAATTTGTGGCCTAATTTTCCAGAGGCAGGGATTTGGGTTTCCAGTGATAGGAAGGTGTGAGACAGTGTAGGCTCGTGGAGGAAGAAGCCTCACGGAAGTGAAGAGGCAGAGATGAGAGGCTGGCCCTGCTGGCTCACTCACCCTTCTGTGGGGATCCAGGAGAGCTTGTCCTGGTTTGCTGACGGTATGCAGTTTCAGTTCTTCATATTCAGTTTCCTCTTTTTAACAGAGAATATGAGCCCCAGTCTCTTCAGCCTTAAAAAACATCTACCCAGGACTTAAGAAATTGTTTTCTTATATATATTTTTGTAGTGTTGATGGAATTGATGCTTTAACAGGTAAGTATTTCTGGTTTTAGAGTTAAAAGATTTCTCTCTAAGAATATTTATAAGTTGAGGTAGAGCAGTGGTTCTCAACCTATTGGTCGAGACCCCTTGGGGGTTACATATCATATACCCTGCATATCAGATATTTACACTATAAAAGTAGAAAAATTACAGTTTTGAAGTGGCAACAAAATAATTTTATGGTCGGAGTCACCACAACATGAAGAACTGTATTGAAGGGTCACAGCATTAGGAGGATTGAGAACCAGTGATATTATATAGAGCAAACCAGAAAATTCAAAGAGTGAAGGTAAATACAGGGATGTGGCAAAGGTCACCAAGAAGGCCTGTGAGGATTAGAAACAGGGCAACAGAGAGGAGCACAAAGGGCAGAAAGTGTTCATGCAGACCAGCGCCTTCATTTACCTGTGATGGCGCTCTCGTTGTCTGAATGCCCACATTGTTTTGGGCATGGCAACAGACACTTTCTGTATGTCTTTCAGGCCTCAAACCACATCTTGAGAATGATGTGGTTGTGACCATTTGTGCACAGAATCCTGAAATTCCAAGAGACAAAGGCGGTGCCTGATTGACATGACAACTGTGTGTCAGGTCGTACTCTGGAGCTGAGAGCCTCTTTCGAATGAAGTATTCTTTGCACTGTA